GAGAGAGAGAGAGCTCTCACGCGGAATGTTTACACGAGGGAGAAGGAGGGAGTAATCTGAGACTCTCTCTGTTCCTCCCTCCCTCCGACTGCCAAACATACTTTTTCCTGTCTTTCCTTCTGTCTCCTTCTTTCTCTCTTCTTTCTCTCCTTCTTTTGACTCCTCAAACACAAATTAACATATTTCTGTGTCACGCAAACAGTTTTACATAAGTCCTGATATGTTCTCCTCCTGTCTCTCCTCTCTGTCTCTCTCCTCTCTCTCTGTTCTCTCTCTCTGCTCCTCTCTGTCTCTCTCTCTCCTCTCTCCGTCTTCTGTCTCTCTGTCTCTCTCTCTGTCTCCGTCCTCTCTCTCCTCTGTCTCTCTCTTCTCTCTCGGCGTGTCTCTCTCAAATCTCTCTCTCTCTCTGTCTCTCTCTGTCTTCTCGTCTCTCTCTCTCTGTCTCTGTCTATCTCTCCTCCCTCTCTCTGTCTCTGTCTCTCCTCCTCTCTCTCTCTCTCTCCTCGCTGTCTCTCTAAAATCGTGTCCCGTGTCTCTCTCTCTCCATCCTGTCTCTGTTCTCTCTCTCTGTCCTCTCTCTCTCGTGTCTCTTCTCCTCCTCTCTCTGTTCTCTCTCTCCTGTCTCTCTCTCTCTCTAAATCTGTCTCTCTCTCCATGGTCTTTCTCTCTCGTCCTCTCCTTCCTCTCTCTCCTCAATCTCCCTCACACTCTCTTCTCTCTGGGCTGGGTCTTCTTCTTCTGTCTCTCTGTCTCTCTCTCTTCTCTCTGTCCTCTCTCTCCCTCTCTCTTCTCTCTCTTCTCGTCCCTCTGTCTCTCTCTCTCTCTCTCTTCTTCTCCTCTCCTGGTCTAAAACTCCTCTCTGTCTCTCTGTCTTCTCCTCTCTCTGGTCTCTCTCTCTCAAATCTCTCTCTCTCTCTTTCTTCTGTCTCTCTTCTCTCCTCGTCTCTCTCCGTCTCTCTCTCTGTCGGCTCTCTCTCTCTGGTCTCTCTGTCTCCTCTATGCTCTCTCTCTGTCTCTCTCTCTCTCTCTCTCTCTGTCCTTCTCTCTCTCTCTGTCTCTCTCTGTCTGTCTTCTCTCTCTCTTCTCTCTCTGCTGTCTCTCTCTCTCTCTCTCTCTGTCTCTCCTCTCTCTTCTGTCTCTCTCTGTCCTCTCTCTCTCTCTCCTCTCTTCTCTGTCTCTCTCTCTCTCTCTCTGTCTCTCCTCTCTTCTCTGTCCTCTCCTCTCTCTGTCTCTCTCTCTCTTCTGTCTTCCTCTCCTCTTCATCCTCCTCCTCTCTCTCTCTCTCTCTCTCTCTCTTCCTCTCTTCTCTCTCTCCCTTTCGTGTCTCTGTCTCGTCTCAATCTCTGTCTCTCCCTCTCTCTCTCTCTCTCTGTCTCTGTCTCTCTCTCGTCTGTTCTCTCTCTTCTCTCCTTCTTCATCCTCTCTTCTCTCTCCTGCTCTCTCTCTCTCTTCCTCCTGTCTCTGTGATTATAAAAAATGCAGCGTAGAACCACACACTAACACGTGAAACCACGGTTCCTGCTGGTTCTGCTGGTTCTGCTGGTTCTGCTGGTTCCTCCGCTCTGATCCTGTGGTTCTGTGTGCAGCAGCTCAGATCACAGTGAGGAGGAAGGTTCTCACCAGGGTTCTCTCAACCAGAAAACCGTGGAGGGTCTAAAAGAACCCCATGGTAATCAATTTAAGAGAAGCCCCCCCCCACAGAGGTTCTATAATAAACTCTATACAAGTTCTTTCAGCAATCTGAGGTTCTAGGGAGAACCACGTTTGACACCTTGCACCCCAGAACCCCTTCTCTGGAAGTAGAGAAAAACCACTTTCTGTTCATAGCTACAGACCCCGTTACAGCACCAATTAAGGTTCTCTAAAGAACAACTGGATATTATCTGAAGTACGTTTCTATAAAAGTCTGTCTGTGGCCCAGCAGCTCAGGAACCGACCACAGCGGATCAGAAAACCCAATACTTTACTTTATCCTGCAAACACAGACACTGAGAACGGGTTCCTCACAGAGAACCAATCACACTGTGGATCCTCAGGGAGTCCACATCCACAACACAATACACAGAACACAAGAACGCCTTCACTGTTCCTTCCTCCCCCTACTTTATGGACTCACACAGATCACTGGGCTGTTATCAGCTGGAACCCACTGAACCAGGAACCACGTGAGACAGAGAGAGTGAGAGAGAGACAGAAAGAGAGAGACAGAAAGAGAGAGAGAGAGAGAGACAGTGAGAGAGAGAGACAGAAAGAGAGAGAGAGAGAGAGACAGAGAGAGAGAGAGACAGAGAGAGAGAGAGAGACAGACAGAGAGAGACAGAGAGAGAGAGAGAGAGAGACAGACAGAGAGAGAGAGAGAGACAGAGAGAGAGAGAGAGAGAGAGACAGAGAGAGACAGAGAGAGAGAGACAGAGAGAGAGAGACAGAGAGAGAGAGAGAGACAGACAGAGAGAGAGAGACAGACAGAGAGAGAGAGAGAGACAGACAGAGAGAGAGAGACAGACAGAGAGAGAGAGAGAGAGAGACAGAGAGAGAGACAGAGAGAGAGAGAGAGAGACAGAGAGAGAGAGACAGAGAGAGAGAGAAAGACAGACAGAGAGAGAGAGAGAGAGAGAGAGAGACAGACAGAGAGAGACAGAGAGACAGAGAGAGAAGAGAGAGACGACCCAAAAAGAGAGACATCATAGAGAGAAGGAGACAGAAAAGAGAGAGACAGCGAAGAGACAGAGAGAGACACAGGACACCGAGTGAGAGACGCGCCACGACGTGAGAGAGACACAGCGAGACAGACATGAGAGACGACCAGACAGACGACCCAGTGAGAGAAGAAAGAGAAGAAGAGAGAGAGACAGAGAGAGAGAGAGACGAAGGACAGAGAGAGATAAGACAGATGAGGAGAGGAAGACAGAAAGAAGAGAGAGAGAGGAGAGAGAGAGCAGACACCTGAACCGCAATGATGACAGAGAGACACGAGAGAGACACAGATCCAAGAGAGAGAGAGAGGAGATGATGAGACGAGAGAGGAGAATACAGACAAGAGTGACTAGAGAGATTCAAGAGAGAAGAGACAGAGAGAGATCACTGGAGAGAGAGACCACGACGAAGCTGAGAGAGAGAGAACAGGACGACAGTGACGACAGAGAAGAGACAGACAGAGGAGAAGAGAGAGACACGGAACTGAAAGAGAGAACACCTCCGCCAGTCGAGAGTGAGAGAGACAGAAGAAGGTAGA